AAGAAAAAGGAATCTGTTTAAGCTGTAGTTCAGGGACCTACCTGTAGTGGTAGCTCCAAGGTCCTAGTTTTGATTCCCAGCACCACTGAAGGAAAATTAATATGTCACTAAGTAATTGTGACATTTGTTGCACTGTGAAATACCAACAAATAATAGTTAAAAAATTAAAAAAAAAAAAAAACTGGGTGTGTTGGTATACACCTGAAATACTAGCTACTCGAGAGGCTGAGGCAAAAGGATCATAAGTTCAAAGCCAGCATAGGCAACTTAAGGAGAATTTATCTAAAATAAGATCTGGTGATGTAGCATAGATGTAGAACATTCCCGGGTTCAGTCCCCATTATCAAACAGACAAAGTCATTGGATTCTAAATGAAATTTAGCTTGTTTATGAAAACCACCAATAACTAAAGGATTAAAAAAACTGTGCTATAGATACACAATGGAGTTCTACTCAGCCATGAAGAAGAATGAAATTATAGCATTTTTCTGGTAAATGGATGGAACTTAAGAACATCCTGCTAAGTGAAATAAGCCAGATTCAGAAAGGGTCGAATGTTGTCTATGGTAAGTGGGAGCTAGAACAAAATAAGGAAAAAGAAGTGTGTGGGAGTCCCATGCAATAGAAGAGAGATCAGTGGAGTAGAGAATGGGGATTGGTGGGGAGGAGAGAGACAGAGAACGGGAGCCATGGTGGAATGAAACTGACCAAATCATCCTGTGTACATACCTGAATATACCACAGGAGAAGAAAGGGAATGGAGAGGGGGAGGGAGGGAGAGGGGAGGGAAAGGGGAAGTACTGGGGACTGAATTGGAGCAAATTGTATTCCATACATGTATAGTTATATCAAAATGAGCCCCAATATTATATGTAAATATAAACATCTTTTAAAAAAAACAGAAAACTTTGTATCAAAGTGACTGAAAAAGTATTTACCAAGCAAATGCTAACAAAAATAAAGGTAGTGTAAGAAGTTCTAACTTTGGGCAAAAGGCAATAATAGAGATTAGTAAGTACATAAATACTGCTAGAAGGTAAAATCCACCAAAAAGACACAATAAACTTTTATATTCCTAACAATATGGCTTCAAAATAGGTGAAACAAAGCTGATAAAATTACTGGGAAAACTTATAAAGTTGATGAAAGTAGGAGATTTTATTATCTTTTATTAGAAACTGATAGGTCAAGAAGATCAAGCAAATAAATATCAGAAAGGACATAGAAGATCTGTGCCCCTGGTGTGGTTAGGGAAGGCTGAGTGAGCGGGATGACTGAAGTCA